TCACATATTTTTATTAATAATCATTTTTAAATTAATATAAGGAAGTATTAAATAATTTTTAAATTCTATAAAATTTTGTAGAATTAATTTATTTATTAAGAACTTTTAATTTAATAATTAGATTATTGAAATTTAATGTAGATCATGAATTATTGGAAATAACTCTTTGAGTAAGTATAGATTCTTCCACTCTCTCTTTTTATATATATAATTTTGCTTTTATATTAATAAGGATATATAAGTTTAACAATTATTTTCTTACTGATAGAATAATTTTGGCAGCTTTTTTTTTTATGTATGCATAATTAATTGAAAATATATAATTAATTTTAAATATTCCTAAATAAAGATTTTTCTTACATAACTATATAGAGATGCTACTCCTTAAAAACAAGCATAATGGAGGAATAAAGTGAGGTGATAACTATATATTACACATAACTTATTTATGAGTTACTGAGTTATATATATAATTAATATAAAATACTAGTATTTTAGTCAATATAATGTATAGGATAAATATTTATTATATGTAATTATAATGATCCGCCGTGGCTGTCACACTATGAAATAACACTACACACTACTGGAATGCTAAAATAGTATAATAAAATATTTACAATACAAATTGCTAATCAAACAACCAACAACAACTAGTTATATATAACAAAATATGCTACTATAAGGTAGTCTACAAAAAAAGTATCCATTTCCAAGCACCTCCTGTGGCCTCTAGCAGCTATCTCCCAGCCTATTCCTGCCCTGCTCCCATACAACGTATGATCATCGCAGTCCAAACCACATGAAAACATGCAAGGGTAAGCTAGAGACAATAAATAACTCATAATAATTTAATATGCAACACAACAACTATATAATCATCTTCACATCCAACACATAAGACAAACAACATATATACTATACATCTTAACATCATTTCAACTTGATTCCACATATCAAAACTTCAACGCAACTAATGTACAAACCATTAGAATAGTTATCATATTCATCATAACAACAACCAACACATGTATTACACACCTCTCAACAACACATGTTTAAAAATAACTTACAACACAGGTAATCTAGCGACGCTAGCATCATCATCAACTTGTATACAAATAAGCAACTTACAACATAACAACACTATTATCATCCTCAACTGGGTCAACATACAACACAATCACAACTTAACAACACAACAACATATGTACAACTTATATCAACAACAAATCAACTCATCAACAACTTATGCGTCGCCACACATTTCAACTTGGAGATCTCCTACAACGTGGTGAGTAGTCTAAGTGGCTAGGTCCTACCGAACCGAAAACACCTAACCTTTTTGGGCTTGCTAGGTAAACAACAAATTTGGATAGAAATCCACAACACGATAACGATTTCTCAGACTTTGCCACTTAAACAAGGAAGTAAGTACTCTGTCAGGATAGAACAGTTGGGTTTAGGCCTACCACGGCATTAGCTAGCTTAACTAAGCCACCTATGGGATTAGCCTACCGACTATCCTCCAAATACTACAACCCTTTGATACTCGGTTACGAACTAAGTTCCCGACTTCGTACTTTACTCAAATTGGCCGCTTGTAATCGGTATAGCTTGACTTGACCCCTATACCGTGGTCGCTTTGTACACGTGTGCCTCGACCTTGCCCACACACAGGATCAACTAAGTCCTAGAGGAGAACAACACAACGTTCACTCCAAGGGACAACTTCCAAGGAGGGTTTTTCAACAAATTGGGCTCTCAGAGCACCATAACTATCTCAATCCACACAATGGAATGAGCAATTTCGAAAACATCTCCCCTAGTCCTAGTGGTCAACAACTCATCATCACAGCTTAATTAACTTATAACTCAACAGCACAGCTCAGCTCAACAACTTAAACAACATACAACTTTTTAACTCATCATCTCAATCAACTTTCAACTTAAACAACATGGTTATCATCTCATCAGCTCAATGATCGACTCATTTTAACTTTAAACAACATAGTCAACTCAACAGCTTATTAGCTCAACTCATGATTTACAATTCAATCATCATAAAGTAATATCTTTTCAACACATGGCACAACATACAACTTTTATAGCAGCATACAACTATCCTCTAACAAGTTAACAACATAGTCTACTAATAACATTTATATAAGTCTCAACACATCTACACACTTCACATCATGCTTCTCACAACTCACAATATTATCATCATGCACTTCACAACTTTCAACTATATCATCTCATCATATTTCACAACATATAAATGTCCACACATAACATATAGCAACTTTAACAACATATCACATATTCAACACATTTCTATTTGGCACAACTACTCATTTAGTTTACAACACTATACTCAACATGCATCTCTTTATTTCATTTTCTACTCATCATACATCTCAATATAATTATACAACTCCATACAACTCAAAAATAACCTCAAATTCAACATGAAATCAACCATGCATCAAAATCAACAAAAATCCCATTTTTCCCAAAATCCCGAAAAATGAGAAAGTCCTCAAATCAATCAATGATTCTCAACATTCTTACTCCATATGAGTTCCTAAACTCACATATAACCAAACAACATACAATCTAGCTTCCCTTACCTGAAGATTGACTCTAAAAGCCAAGAATTTGAGAAGAAGAAGAAGAAGAAGAAGAAGGAGAAGAAGAAGAAATATCCTCCAAAGCTTGACTCTTGAACTTCAATCCTCCAAAAACAAACTTTCTAGTCTAGAGTTCTTCTATCTAGAAATTCTTTCTAAAACCTCTCTTTCTCCTCAACTGCACACAAGTCCTATTTATAGAAGTCTGAAGTGGCCAGAACGACCCGTTTCGAATCTAGAACGACCCGTTCTAGGCTCCTTCATCGTGTGTAAAATTCACATGCAGAATGGCCCGTTCTAAAACTAGAACTGCTCGTTCTGGCACGTTTAGAACGACCCGTTCTTAAACTAGAACGGGTCGTTCTAGAGTTGAATTTAACTCACAATGACTATTTTGGAACGACCCATTCCAGTCTAAGATTCATAGGCCTATTTAGTAGTTTGGAATGGCCTGTTTCAGTTTAGGAACGGCCCGTTCTGAGCTACTAAATTACTCACACTGGACTTTGGGCCTTCTGAAACTTGCTACGTTACAATAATCAAAATTTATAACAAATTATATATATAAGTAAGCATTATGCTTAAATAATTAAATTATATTCAAAATTTGTATAAATAAATACTTTTAAACATAGAAATTATATTTTAGTGATATATAATTTATATTATAGTATAATATTATTTTTATTTACTTATTTTTTTTTTATTTCTTTTTTATTTTCTTCCATCATTCCTTAACTCCCACAAAGTTTGATCCTGTAGAATCTGACCCATTTAGATTCATAGGCCTATTTAGTAGTTTGGAATGGCCTGTTTCAGTTTAGGAACGGCCCGTTCTGAGCTACTAAATTACTCACACTGGACTTTGGGCCTTCTGAAACTTGCTACGTTACAATAATCAAAATTTATAACAAATTATATATATAAGTAAGCATTATGCTTAAATAATTAAATTATATTCAAAATTTGTATAAATAAATACTTTTAAACATAGAAATTATATTTTAGTGATATATAATTTATATTATAGTATAATATTATTTTTATTTATTTATAATTTATTTTATGAATATGATAAATAAAAATCAAATTAAATAAGAAGTTAAAAAATATCTAAAAATTCTCTCATCAAAGAAAAACTTCTAAAAATATTATCGTACAAGATAGAATTTTGTATTTAATATAAAAATTGATATAATATAATATTAATATGAAATATTACTATAAAAAAAATAGTAACTAATTTTCACTACAAACTCTAAACAATACAATGAGTATCTTTTTTCTTAATATATAATTTATTTTATATCTAAATTTGAATTTTGAACATTTAGTTAAAAGACGCTATCACTTATGTGAACTATTGATTTATAAGTTATAAATAAGTATAAAAAAAATGTTATATTATACTTTTATTTCTTTATTGTGATTTATATATAATTCTGTATATATATATAGAGAGAGGGAGAGAGAAAATAATACTTTGCTTCAAGCAAGGAAAACCTCACACTCAAAGAATATATGTACGTATGAAGAATTTCCATTATTAACTTCATTCTAAAGAGACGAATGGAGACTTGAATCTATGTAATGTGTGAAATATGAAACTTTATCTTTATCTATTTCTTTAATCTTCGGAAATATGAAAAAAATATTTTTATAAATACTTCAATTTCCTTATAAGAAAATATTAAATATGAAAAATAAATGTATTTAATAGTCTTTAAATAACCAAGGGTTGGCATAGTGTTCCACTCACATGTTGCAAAAACAATTTATTTAAAGAAAAATTGTGTTTAATTATTAATTACTATTATATGCAAAAAGTCTTCAAACCAACAATAGTAATCATATTCGTGTACTAATCCTATTCGATCCACACGAATATGATTACTATTTGACTTGGTAAACAGGAAAAAAAATGGAAATATTAAATACTTTTTTACATTAAAAAAATTAGAAAAATATCATAGAAAGATTTATAAGTTATTTTTATTGAAAAATAAAATGAATGGAGTGTAGCATGCAAGTCCCTAGAGAAAAGGAAGAACCCCATGTGGTTAGTCAGAGTGAGAGACACGAGCTTGCATTGCATGTCTCACTTCACTCCAAACCCACCTTTTTTTAGTGTTTCCACGGCCTTGTCATCATTTTGTTCACCTTCCAAACCCCTTTCGTACGTAGTTTCATTCTTTTCTCCTCTTTCATTTTCTATATATAAAGATGGTGCAAGTTAAGAATAGCATATATCTCATAACGTGTATGCATTAAGCGTTTCAAGGGAGAGAGCAATAGTCCGAAAAAAGAAGTCAACCTTTTTCTTCTCTTCTCTCTCACATCAACACATTCTTCGCTCTCTCTCTTTCATTCTCACCCTCCATTTTCCCACTTCCTTTCTGGGGTCCCTTCCTTCTTTGCTATCCCCATTCATTTTCTCTATCCACACTTTTGTTTGTTGTTGAACCCTCTCTCTCTCTCTCCCTCTCTCTCCCACCTTGTCTCTCTCTTTCTCTCTCTCTGGCCAACACCTCCTTGGGCCTTCTCCCTTGGCCCCATTGACACATTCAGGTATGCTAATGCTAATGCTAATGCTCCTTCATAACAATAACAATAACATTGTTGTTGTTGTTGTTAATGTGGTTGGTTTTGGCCTAGCTAGGATATTCTCATTGTCATTGTCATTTTTTATGTTCAATCATATTGGAGAATGGAGAGTAATAATGTGACAATGTTTTCTGGTTCTTGTAATTGAAAATGTGACATGTTGGGTGCATGTTTTCTGTGTTTTTCTTTTCTTTTTCTGGTAACCTTGTTATTAGTGTAAAACATTTACCAATTTTGTCGATAATTAATCTTGGTTACAATCTGCCTAGCCACTTTTAGTGGAGCTTCTAGGATTGATTACAATACAACCATGATCATTCTATTGTTTTTTTCGTGTTTTGTTGTTTTTGCTATATTGGAGGTGTAATTAAGCACGGGTAAAGGGAGGAGGGAGGGGTAAATGGCTTAAAAGCATGACCAATTGAGTGAGAAGCTTGTTAAGGGAATGAATCGAAGTACAATCTGATCATTCTTTTTTGTGGGTTATTTCTTGTTGATTTGTGCCAACAATGACAATATCCCTTAATTAGCCCCTTTTCTGAAATATTAGATAATGTTTAAAAAAAAAAATTAACAACATTTTGTGACAGATATTTGAAGATTAATTTGATTGTTTATTCTATATGCCATTGTTTGAATCCTTTCTGGTGATTTTTTTTTTTTTTTTGTTTGAACTCTGAAACAACTGACTAGTTTTTTGTGCAACGGTTTAAAGTTTTAAAACTACAATCCGATGGAATTATTGCTACAACTTGTTTTGTTTCAATGAGTGACTGGTAGAATTCAATACATTCTTTAGTTATTACTGCATAAGATATTGAGACAGAAAGTCTGATTAATGCTTGAGGCCAGTAATTTTATCTAACAATGCTTCCTGCTCTGAAGATTTCTAATTGCAAATAAAAATTATTGGAATTTTTTCCCATTTGTACATTGTTTTCCTTCCTCATCCCATAAAGGACCAAGAATGGTAAAAGTCTACGAAATTGTTGATAAACCTTTTCAGGTGAATATTTGAAGATCTTAATGTCTACAACACCTAATAAAATGCTAAGCATAGCTCCAAGCCTTGTGCCTTTCTACTTTTTCTTCTTTCTTTTTAACTTGATTGAACTCCACAATATTTGTAGAATAAGATCTTGATTATTTGAATATAAATTTAGAGTCTGTTTGGATACAAGCTTAAAAAAGCTTTAGAGAATTTCTCTACGGAAAATAGAGTTTTTGTTTTGTAAAAAAGCTCTCAAATACTTTTTTAAGCTTGTTTATCCAAATAGACTGTTACAACAGTTTTTAAATGAGAAAAACCTTACCTTGCACATTTGTTAATATGGTTAGTAATAGAGAAGTTTCTCTTGAGATGTATCAACTTCGGGCGCAGAGATATGAAGCATATTTTCTGATCAGTTATTTCCATTGGTTGAGACTCAAAACTTGATTTGATGAAATCAAACTGTGCAGGGAAGATGATGCTCCAAGGATCGGTTAGCATTAGCGGCCGGGAGATAGAGACCGTGCTTTCTTTCAGATCTCCTACACCAGATAAGCAAAATGACTTGTTTGGTAAATCAGTGAGCACAAAGAGTAGAGACAAATCTAGTAACTTGTTGGAGAAGAACTTCTATTCACCATCGCAAGAGCCACGTAGTTCTTGGGACCAAGCTGCACTGAAGTTGCAGAAAGTTTACAAAAGTTTTAGGACTAGGAGAAAACTTGCAGATTGTGCAGTTCTTGCAGAGCAGAGATGGTTAGTTTCAACACATGTACCTGGGTAAACACAATTGGAATTTATATGGAACATTGTTATTCATTTTATTTGTTAATCATCTTTTGTATTAGAGTGTACAGTTTTATATTTAGGAGTCTTACAGCAATCTCATAGAGTACTGTCAAATTAAGTTGAAAGAGGGGAATAAAAAAAAGCTTTCATAACTGTTCTTGTGCCCGTGATCTCTATCAAACACAAAGATGTTCATAATCTTGCTTATGTATAGGTGGAAGGCTTTGGATTTCGCTGAACTGAAGCGCAGTTCGATATCATTTTTTGACATTGAGAAACCGGAGACTGCTGTTTCACGTTGGTCAAGGGCAAAAAAGAGAGCTGCCAAGGTATTTCAGTTTTCACATGACTTGTATTATAATATGTTGATGTTGTTTGTTGAAAGACTAGTCATTTGATTTTATTCTTTCTTTGTGTTTAATAGGTTGGAAAGGGTCTATCTAAGGATGTGAAGGCTCGAAAACTTGCCTTGCAGCACTGGCTAGAAGCAGTAAGTCTCAGCTAAAGTAATATAAATCATGTTTGGATACAAGCTTAAAAGAGTTTCTAAGAACTGGTTTATTGAAAATAAAGAGTTTTTTGAGTGTTACTTTTTTTCAGTATTGAAACACTCAAAAAACTTTTCTTAACTTGTATCTGAATAGGCTAATGGCTTTAAATTAAACTACTAGTTTCTCTAACTCAATATCAACTTGTACAGATTGACCCCCGGCATCGGTATGGTCACAATCTTCAATTTTATTATGTCAACTGGCTTCGCTGTGACAGCTATCAACCTTTCTTCTATTGGTAAGACTGAAACCAGAATGAAAACTTCAATTTCTGTTTGACAACAAACTTCCTATCAAATCGACGGATATATCAATATACATGTATAGGCTTGATATTGGGGATGGCAAGGAAGTTAATTCTGAGAGATGTCCTAGGTCAAAACTTCAGCAGCAGTGCATCAAGTATCTGGGTCCAGTGAGTTTCCTGTTCCCTTTGATATCATATCAGTAATCACTTTTCTTTTAATCAAAATGGAACAATCTCATGGTTGGTTCAACACTAGTTTATGGACAGGCCATAAATTTTGACTTTAATGAAAAACTCAAAACTATTAGGTAACTTAACTGTCAAGCAACATGTAAAAGTAATTTTAAAAGTTGTTTCTTTTGCAGGTGGAGAGAAAGCAATATGAAGTAGTTATTGAGAATGGGAGGCTCTGGTACAAGGAAAGCGGGAAACCTGTTGAAACAGCAGGAGATGCAAAATGGATTTTTGTACTTAGCACATCCAAGACTCTTTATATTGGGCAGAAGAACAAGGGCACATTTCAACATTCAAGCTTCCTAGCAGGGGGAGCCACATTGTCTGCTGGTAGATTAGTGGTGGAGAACGGTGTTCTTAAGGTATGAAAAAAGACTTATGAACCCAAGATTTTCAAATTAGATTAAGAGTTTGTTTGAATACAGTTTAGAAGGACTTTTGAGAACTTCTCTACTGAAAATAGTTTCATTTTTAAAGTAGAGAAGCTTCTAAAAACCTTCTAAGCTTGTATCCAAACATGCTTTAATACACTTTATTCTTTTGCTTTCCATTTTCCACTGTATGGCATACTGACAGTAGACTTTTTCAACCCCAAAGGCTGTTTGGCCTCACAGTGGCCATTATCTCCCAACAGAAGAAAATTTTGAGGAATTTGTGTCATTCCTTGTGGAGAACAATGTGGATCTTACAGATGTTAAGGTAAATGGTGACTTTCCTGCAGTATAACATACTTACCATCTGTCAATCTAATGCAAATGTCCATTCAGCATTTACATGACTGAAGAAAATTAAACTTAGGTTAACATAAATCCACACTCACTATTATGTAAAAATAGTTTACTTGGAATAGAAGATTTTAGATAGCTGTGCACTTTATCCATGACATCTTGCATAAAAAAAATAGTTAATTTGTCATTTCTTATATCCAGAAAAATCCAGATGAAGAAGAAGACACAGTCAGAATGAACCAGGATTTATTCCTAAGCAATCTTTTAGAGGCCATGGAACCTCCAAGCACTGAAACTGAAAGTTCCAACGCATTAGCCGAAAATCTGCCTGACTTGAAAAATGAGGATTCTAATGCTGATTCAAACCATCAACAACCCTTGTCAAGATTGTCAGAACGACTAGGATCGAAAATAGCTAAACTTGAGATACCAAAAAGAGCTGCAGTGTACAACATTTTTGGAGAGCAAGAAAACGGACCACTCACCGTGTTCTATTCTCCAGCTGCAGTATCAGACTCTGGCTACGAGACAGCAGAAGAATCATTTATAAATGAGGAGGAGTTCATGGTTTCCAAATCAAACATGTTTGTTGAAAATGAAAATCAAGAAAATGAGAATGCTATTCCAAAGGATAAGATCTTGAAGAGAATAGACTCACACAAGGGAAGGAAATCATATCAATTGGCCGATCAATTGGCTACAAAATGGACAACAGGAGCAGGCCCTCGAATTGGTTGCATGAGAGACTACCCTCTAGAGCTTCAGAACATCATTCTGGAGCAGCAGAACTTGTCTCCAAGGACAAGATCAGCAGCTCCATCGTCGCGGATATCGGCATTGTCTCGCTTCAGCCCTCATGTTGCTTTTCCACCACCCCCTTTGGCCTATTTTCCAACTGCATGAAGGCAGCCAGTGTATAAACTCATAATACATATAGAGTCTGATTGGATACAATCCAGAAGGACTTATGAGAGTTTTTCTACCGAAAATAAAGAGTATTTTTCGATAGACAAACTCTTAAAAGTCCTTCAAGACTTATATACTAGCATACATATAGGATGAAGTGGCTGTTAAGGGGTGTCACTTCTGTTCACAAGAATGACATAGGAGTTCTTTTGGCAATGCTTTTGGTGCCATTCTTTAAGGCCATATAGATTTTGTAGGTATGTTAATGTGATGGATGAGGAACGAAAGAACTTTGTATGTTCTAGTTCCAGATGAGGAGAGAATCTGATTAGATTCTTCCATCCAATCTAGATTGAGACAATAGCAACTTGCAAATCATACAGCAGATTTCTCTGGGGATTGCTGACCACATTTGTGGTATGTATCCTTCAAAGTGTATACTATATTTATCTTATATATGATGACATGAGAGGGTATAGACAAGATGAAATAGGTAAAGTCAGATTATATTCTTTGTTACCAACGCCAAAATTGTTACCGAGTGTTTTTAATCTTAAAATCCATCAAGAAAACACACTCACTTAGTTAGGGTTTAGGGTTTGAGATTTGAGATAAATGCAATGTATATAATAACACCTGCCTCCATTTTGACTACAAACATAAATAAAGAACTTAGGTTGCATCTCCTAATAAAATGTAATGAATAGAACTTACCATCTATTTTATAATATATAATTTCTTAAATGCAAGTGAGTTGTGGAAATATCTTTTAACACAGTTGGCATTGTCTTCCACAAACATTTTTACTTGGTTGTCATTCCATTATTTCTTCTATCAAATCATGCATTCTCTTTCATTTCCTAAGTACTCCATCTGGTACTTCATGTAAGAGATAAATAAGTACATTTTTTATTTTAATTACAAGAATAAGTATCTACTTTAAAATGCATTAATTATTAATTTCTTTTTATACTCTTATACATGTAAATGCATATAGTTATTGATGTATTAACAATACAAGTGGTGAAAAAAATTATCTCTTAAATTAGATTTAGAGTCATTTAATGTTATCACTTTTTAAATCAATCAATCTAAAAGGTATTTTTGAAATGAAATTTAATTTTATGATATTAGTAACGAAAATTAACTCTCTTAATACTTTTATTGATTTTGATAAATTTGTTGTTTTTTTTTTAAAATAAAGAAACGAGAAAGTATTCATTATTGCAATTGTTCACTGTTTTTTCGTGTTATGATTTTTTTTTTGTTAATCATATTATTAGTACAAATCCTCTTTTAATTTAATTAGTTATATTTTTATTCAATTTTAAACATATTTCCTCCTTAATTATAATTTTTATATTCCTGTTAAATTAAAAAAATTCAATAGTTAACTAATATTAAAAAAAACCTGTGAGAATATTATTTATATCAAATGGAGAAAGATTTTAAGGGGGTAATCAAGCAATACAAGTTTAGTGTTTGTTTTGTAAAAAACTATAATCAATTTTTTCATTGTGACATATTTCAGTGTAAAATTTATGACACAAATTAATTTTAAATATGCATCTCAATTATATTCAGTAGTTTAAAATTATTTTACTAAAAATCTATGGTACAAGTCATTTAATACTTATTCGTTTTAATAAAAATAAATGACTGAGGTTCAATTTCTAACTTAAACATCGAGATTAAAAATATCATTTTATATCTATAGAAAAAATATGCTATCAAAGTATGCCTTACTTACCAAACAAGTACTCAAGGATTTAATAGTTAGATGCACCTCTTTTAAAGTCTATTTGACTTGTTTCGATCACAATGGTTTTAAAAATACTCGGCTATTTGGCTGCTAGTGATAGTCAACTAAACTAGATTGTTTATTTAGTCAAAGAACAATAGATCATATCCTAAATGATGCACAAGCGCAAATATCAAATGAGATGTAATTTCTCTTATCCTAAATTTTTAATTAAATTATACAAACCAATGTAAATAATTATGTCAATTAATTTTATTATATTTATGAAATAAAATCATGATTTATCAAATTTATCCATTTTATTTATTGTTAAATTTTTATGAGAGATGTGGAGATACTCCCCTTATTCTCTTACAAACAAAAGTAATTAATTTTATACATATTAAAAAAAGTTAGTTATTTACATTAAATTTTATAACTCTTATGAGATTCTTATTAAATTATTTTTATTATAAATGTCAAAAAAAAGTAGCTCAACTAAAAGGTTTAGAGAAAATATCATTAAATGATGTAAAAGTAATTAAATTAACTTATATTTAAGAATAATAAATGTATACCTTTTTTTCTTATAATAATAGAGAACAAAGGGGGTATTAGTGTATTACCTTATATCAAAGCTTATGCATCAATATCAACAAAAATAATAAATGTCAATTGGAAAATTTAAGAAATGAGAGAGAAAAACACATTTTGACAAATAAAGAAAACATAATTTAGTATTTCCTAAAATCTATAAGATGCCTCATATAAAAGACCAAAAATTTCTTCTAAATCATACTTTATACAACCTTTGTTCCTATTATCAACTTTGAACAATTTCTTATTCCTCTATAAAAGACTCGATTCATATTATTTCATATATTAATTATTTTTTAAACTAAAATATCATTAATTAAAATATATTTTCTTAATTTAGTAAAATGCATTAATTATAAATTGTTACCAAGCATGTACTCTAATTGGTTTGGAAAAAGATGAGCATTAATTAGAGAAAAGAAATAATATAAGATATTCACTCTAATTAGTTAGAAGATATATAAATATTAATTATAAATAAGAAATAGTACAAAAGTAGTTTTAGAAGAAAAAATATATATATATAAAAAGGACAAATTTATTATTTTTAACTATATCAACTATTTTTATTAATCTTTGAGAATTAAATAATTAGGTCTTATATATATTGGAATCGAGATAGTAATAAGGGTAATAAGGATTGAACCGAGTATACAACTTCCCTCATTCTACTTTGATAGCTACATTTATTGAGGAGAAAAAACTTTTTTTATTTCCTAGGTATTTTATTCAGAGACAATTCAATTCAAAGCATAGTCAAACACTAAATATATAAGTCCCTCTTTCAACTGAGATTCGAACCTCTGGGAAAAACAAACTTGCAAATACATACCCTTGTAGCCAGGGACCATCGCCCAAAAGGGAATTCACAAATTGAATAATGCCACATACACATTTTGTTTTTACTTCTTTACATCTTTATGCTTGTTTGTAACATAAACTACGTTGCACTTGCATAGACAACTTTTAAAAAAAAAAAAAATTACCACAGTTAAAAATGATTGAGAATGAATAACAGAGGTGTAAAACAATAAAAAAATATTGCCAGTGTAACATTATGAAATCTGTTAAAGGCATTACATTACATCAAAGTAAAAGAAAATAGTATCACACATTTATATACAATATTCATTTAAAATAATAATAATAATAATAGCTAGTTTACTAATTGATACTTAATACAACAAAGAAGATCTCTCTAACTATGTACGTGTGCACCTTTTTCCAAGAAAAATGTGGCGAGGTTTGCTATATGAGAGGAAATATTGCATACTCAGCATAGAACAGATTCCATATGAATCGGTAGAATCCTGATATTGCATCCTGGAGCATACAACAAAGACATTTTAAAAGCAACTTAAACCAAAGTGGAAAAAAATAAAGATAAGGAATGAAAAGTTGACCACTTAGACTAGCATGATTGTGTATAGAAAGATTTATACAAAAAGTGTTTTAAAAAAATGTTTTGATTTTAGTCCTATTATTAAATCATTGATGTGGGAGTATAGATATATTTTGAAGAAAAAAAAATGATCACTATACTTTGCCACCTAGAGTAATCAAGTATTGAACTATTCATATTCCATTGACAAAAAATCTTGGTCTCTATATAGGCCCAGAGAAAAGATTAAAGTCGAACTACCAGAACAAGCAAAGAAAGTTCTTCTAAAAACCAATCCACAATCCACCTGATTATGTCATCCAGTCCTATAAACTAATGTGCATGAAATTTGTATCAGTTAACCTATTCTTTCCGTGCCACAGTGCAAATATTTAACCAAGCAATAAGTTGTGACATTAACTACTATGCCTTGAGAAGATTTATGGTATTGATCACTATTTGAACTGATTCATGACATCAGTAGTCATTATGTTACAAGAGACAAAAGTCAACGTCCAATATCTGAGCATTAAAAACAGTTAATAAGTTGCTACAATTATTTTCTTATAGGAGATATAATAGATTACCTTGGTATAATTTGCTTGTTCTAATATCAGTGTCTGAAACATAAGAAAACAAGTCATGGCTATTTTACAGTTTTACAACCACTTGTGTGCATTTTGGAAAAAGAAACACAAAAATGAGAAAGCACTAGACAAGAATCTTCTGCATAGCACTTAGGTTCCAATAAGCATGCATAGTGCATGGGATAGACAAAATCTCGACAACACTAGAGGGAAATGTTTTGCTCAATAATATCAACAAGCATATATAGAATTTGTTTGAATACAAGTTTAGAAAAGCACTTATAGCTTCTCTACTAAAAATAAAGAACCTTTTTTGGTAGAGAAACTCTCAAAAATACTTTTAACTTGTATCTAAACAGTCAGTTAACACCAATCAACATACCAGGCTCCCATAATCTTAAGAATATTGTATACAGGGAAAAATACATTTTATGGTGCCAAAGATATCTTCAAGGGCTTGTAGCCTTGATCCCAATAAATTATAACTTATAATATATCTTATGTCATCCAATATTTCAAAGATGAAAACAGGTAAACCTATACAATCAAATGGGAGGGGGAATAGTTTTGAGGAATTTTCTCTTTCCTTTTCCTTGTCTGTGAACAATCTGTCATTTTTGGGCTTAAAATCAGAAAGTAGGCACTGGGCAGTCCACGAATTTCTCAGACAGCATACTAACACTAACTTTTAGAGCAAAGGTGCAAAATTTCCAAGAAATTTACACTAAATGATTCAACAAGTTTGTCTACATACACACCTTAGGGATAGGTTTGTTTTCTTAGCCCCTGTATGTTTCAGCTCATGAGTTTTAATTTAATAGAGATTTTATTATAATATGGACCAAGTATTGGGGATACCATTTGAGTCTAGTTTCTAGTAATTTTTGTATTTTTTTCTCCGTTTTAGAATAGACCATTCTTTTCTGTTTTCCCATTTTTTCTTAACAAAATCTTCTTTTATTTCCCCAAATTCCCCCTCCCCCTCACTGTCATAGAAAATAAGATTCTGATAGTCACATAAAGTGTCTGCTAATGAAAGACTGATATAATACTACATTTCATATTCTTCAAGAACACGTGTTGTAAAATCATAAATGAAAGCAAGGTATTAAACTAAGCAAGACATAGTAGGCTAAAATTAGAAAATCTG